AGAAGCAGTATTGAACTCAGCAGCAGTGTAGTATTGACTGTGCCTACTGTATGCCAGGTACTATGGGATACAGGTGGTGGTATTTATTGATTGGCATGCTAGAACAACTAGGTGTGGGGGCCGGCCCGGTGGCGCACTGCTACAGTGCGCCGCTTGGGAGCGTGGTGGCGCTCCCGCCGAGGGTTCGGATCCCACATACAGACCGGCCGCTCACTGGCTGAGCGAGGTGCGGGCGTGACACCGAGGGTTGCGATCCCGTTGCCGGTCCCGGTCCGGTCCGGGCGCGACACTGAGGGTTGCAATCCGTTGCCAGTCATGAAAAAAGACCAAAAAAAAGGAAAAAAAAAAAAAAAAACTAGGTGTGAAGACAGTTTGCTGCTATGGATTGTGACTGCTTACTTCCAGGTAAACTGTATCATTCAGTTATTTTAACAGTTATTAGTTTGAAAAAACAGCTGAAGCAAATCTATGAGAAATCTTTGCTGTCATCTTTTAAATCTGTCTGCATTTGTATTTTTTTCCTCTTTCCTTCCTGATAAAACAAAGTATCCTTGCCTCAAAGGCCAGTGCCTCTGCAATAAGTGTTCCACAGTCTGATACTTTCTGCCTTAGAGCATTGCTTCATTGATGCTTCTTTCTCAACTGTATCTTCTACTAGTTCTACTCTGCCGCCTTTTCTAGATTCCACTTGTAGCTCTCCTGTCCTTAAATGAAAACCTCTTGCTTGCACATCCTGCTCCAATTACTCCCTCTCCTTCCACTTCTTTTTATAGCCAGGTGTTAGTGATTTACACAAAACTTTTCTGAGGCTTTATTTACCATCCCCTTTTTAGTCCTGTTGTCTAATGAAGGATTGCTTGTTGAGGTCCCTAGTGTGAAATTCAGTAGACACTTTTCAGCCTTCCTCTTGGACCTTCTTAGAAATACTTTTGTGGGCCCAGAGTTTCTGTGATACTCCCCTGTTTGTATTCCTTTGCCTGGGCCACCATCCCGCAATATTTACTGTCCCTGGATATCTCATTAGTTCCCGTTGACTTTAGATATTATCTCTGTGTTAGAGATTCTCAAATCTGTTTCTCTGAGCTCCAAACACATACATCTGTCTAATTCAATCTGCTTTCCCCCCCCTCCCCTTAAGCATCTCAAAGTCACTGACTAAAACTAAACTCCTGATGATACCTCAAATACGCTCTTGGCCATTTTAGTGATGGGGACCCTTCTACTCGTGCAGGAAACTAGGAAATATCCTTAACTCCTTTTTCATTTCATTTCCTGCAGGGGGCGGGGGTGTGTTACCAGCAACATACTCTCCAACTTGAGCTAACCAGCAGCCCCTTAACTCCCCTTTTTTTTTTTTTTAAACCTGATAATCCTTTTCCCCTCTATCTCCAAAGCCCCTTGTTTTCTACCTCCAAATTAAATTCACCTACTTTCTCTTGTCCAGATTATTGCAGAGGCACCCAAACTAAAAGACAATGATTTCCTGGATTTATAGCCCCAGTTCTTGGTGTAGTGTCTGGCACACAGTACTTGTTCAGTAGGCAGGGTTTTCTTTTGAGGTTGATCTTTAACTCACTTTACTTTAAAAATGTTTGAATGATATTGTCTATTCACATGGCTTCAATTATACATGGACTCTTCAAATCTGTATCTGTTTCCCATTGTTTGCTTGTGATTTCCATAGTATATCTGGCTGCCTCTTAGTAGCTTCACCTGAATAACACAGAGGGTTCAAACTTGCCTTGTCCTAAACTGAACTCTGATTTCCCATCCTGCCCCCAGCCTGTTGGCCTTTATTTTACTCCAGGAGTCAGTGGCTATACCTCTTAGTTACCTAAGCCATAAACTTTGACTTTCTGCTTAGGCTGTCTGTGCTCATTGGGTATATTCCTGTATTTCTAGCTACTGTCTCCTTGCCTTCGGGCTTCATTCTTCCAGTGCAGTTTCCACATTGACATCAGGGGATCTCTTGAAAACAATTTAACAATACTAGTCTTGGTTAAAAATATTAAGCTTTGCCATCTAGGCTCTAACATGGCCTACAAGGTTCATTTACTGTCGCCTACTTCTACAATTTCAACTCCTACCCCTCTTTTGGCTTCCTTGTCTCACCTCCTAGGCTGGATTTATGCCTCTCCTTTGCTTATAATTTCTGCATACCACTTCAGTGACACTTGCCCTGGAGTGTGATAGGTAATCCTTCTCCCTGCTAGATCCTCAAAGGAAGGGCCCATTTTCTTTCTTTCTTTTTTTTTTTTAAAGATGACCGTAAGGGGATCTCAACCCTTGGCTTGGTGTTGTCAGCACCATGCTCAGCCATTGAGCAAATCGGCCATCCCTATATAGGATCCGAACCCGTGGCCTTGGTGTTATCAGCACCGCACTCTACCGAGTGAGCCACGGACCGGTCTCCATTTTTCTCTCTGACCATAGTTCTTGATTAGGAACTCAAATTAGGGTTTTGGAGAGCTAACTGATAATTTTTAATTCCTTGAACTTTTCCATAAATTGGACCAATTGAAATTCTGGTCATAAGTCGGAAAGAGCAATAAATATAATTTAATTTGTAATTATTTTGTGAAAAATACTTTATGTGATAGCTGCATTATTAGGAAAAAAAAGACAGAAGATAACTTTTGTGTTTATTGCTTTCTCTGTAGAGAATCAGATATCACCAAGGAGAGAATTCAGAAGATCCTGGCTACTGGTGCCAACGTTATTCTAACCACTGGTGGCATCGATGATATGTGTCTGAAGTATTTTGTGGAGGCTGGTGCCATGGCTGTTAGAAGAGTTTTAAAGAGAGACCTTAAACGCATTGCTAAAGCTTCTGGAGGTATATCTTCTGCCAGCTCTCAGATAAAATACTATGTTATTCTATGCGACCGCATCAAAGGTCTTTTTACATTGGAATATCGACACTATGCAGCTTCAAAAACATTTTTACTCCCTTAATACTTTGTGCTACAAATATATTTATGGAGCTATGTTTCACATAACTGGAATAGTTCTTTAACTTACTGAGTTTGGGAATTTATGGACTGAATTTGTTCACCTCAAAATTGACATGGTTCCATCTTAGGATAAAGGGACATTTGCTTGTCTGATGACTAACTGTAAACCTTAAACTTATATCACTTTTATCATAAATGTTTCTAAGTCTAAGGATGTTACAATATTTACAGATCTTTGTAATTGTCTTAATAGCAACTATTTTGTCAACCCTTGCCAATTTGGAAGGCGAAGAAACTTTTGAAGCTGCAATGTTGGGACAAGCAGAAGAGGTGGTGCAAGAGAGAATCTGTGATGATGAATTGATCTTAATCAAAAAGTAAGAGCTAATTTCTAAATTATAAAGCTATATGGATTTTTTTTTGTTGAGTAAAAATAGGTTTCCTTCCCATTTATTTGCTGCTCTAGTCTCTCAATGATATTAGCAGTTATACGCATGGGATAAAATAATATTGGGCCATTGTAATTGAGATGGAGTAACCATTTCATCTCTTTTGCATGGACTAGACATTGCTTTTGGTACCATATGTCTAAATGTTCTGGGTAAGCAGGATTGATCAATGGCACTTTTATAAAAATACTGTTTTAAGAATCTTGCTTTTGTTTTTAATAGCACTAAAGCTCGTACGTCTGCATCAGTTATCTTACGTGGGGCAAATGATTTCATGTGTGACGAGATGGAGCGATCTTTACATGATGCTCTTTGTGTGGTGAAGAGAGTTTTGGAGTCAAAATCTGTGGTTCCAGGTGGGGGTGCTGTAGAAGCGGCCCTTTCCATATACCTTGAAAACTATGCAACCAGCATGGTAAGAATTATTTACTTTCAAGAAGGGCAAGGGAGATGATCTTTGGTATTTTGTTAATACGCTTTCCCCAAGACCTTAGGTACTGCTGTGTGCTTTAATAATTTTTCCTGTAGTGAAGAGACTCCTAATTGTTTGTCATCTTAGGGGTCTCGGGAACAGCTTGCTATTGCGGAGTTTGCAAGATCTCTTCTTATTATTCCTAATACACTGGCAGTTAATGCCGCACAGGACTCCACAGATCTGGTTGCAAAGTTAAGAGCTTTTCATAATGAGGCTCAAGTTAACCCAGAACGTAAAAATCTAAAATGGTAAGCATACAATTACCCTGTCTTTTTCATCATCCTCTGTATATCATATTTGATAGTTTGGTTTTATTTTAAATTCATAACATTATCTTTTAAGCTCTTCCTGGGCTTTTTGAAAATAGCATTGAAAGGATAGTAAACACCAAGGTCAAGGGTTCAGATCCCCTACTGGCCAGCCACCAAAAAGGGAGAGAGGGTGCAGTTGACTATAGAGTCAGCAAATACAGATAACAGACTTGTCAGATACTTAATGTAAAAAATGTTACAAGTGTTTGTTGCTCAGTCACTCATAACTAACTCAAAAGACGAGGACTTTTAGATCAGCACTGGTGTGTCTTAGCCTCTCCCTGCTTCTCTGGTAGACACTTTAGCTACAGGAAGTTCCCATAGAGGCATAGGTGAGGTAATTTTAGAGTGATCCATACTCTCAAGCAAAAACATCAAGGATCGATTTGTAGTCTTTTAATTCTATTTTTCCACAAACCTTTTGAAGTATCCATGTATCTTAAATGATTGGAAACAGTTTCTTTACTACCTTCTAGGCCTTTCTACAGCTCTTAAGTGTTGCATAAAGGGACTCAAGTTTCCCAACATTTCTCAAGATTAACATTTGAATAGAACCTGATCATTGTGTAAGAAATCTTTTAATACTTTGTGTTCTTTAATTGCAGGATTGGTCTTGATCTTATCAATGGTAAGCCTCGAGACAACAAGCAAGCAGGAGTGTTTGAGCCAACCATAGTTAAAGTTAAGAGTTTGAAATTTGCAACAGAAGCTGCAATTACCATTCTTCGAATTGATGATCTTATTAAATTACATCCAGAAAGTAAAGATGACAAACATGGAGGTTATGAAGATGCTGTTCACTCTGGAGCCCTTGATGACTGATTTCTCTTTTATTTATAACAATGTTGAATACAATTGTCTTGGACCTTGAATATTACACATTAAAGTACAGCAAGCTATTGACCTTGGATTCTTGTGAAGGAGATGATTTCCATACTCACTTTGGTCCTCTGATTTCATATATTATAAACTTAGTACTTTGTTAGTTTAAAAAGAAATAAGGTTCGAATTTCCATTAAGCGTGATCGTTTAGCAGTTCATCCTCTCTGTACACACATTGCTATTCCCATCCCACCCCCAATGCACAGTGCTGCAACACCACGAGTACCACCTGTTCTCTCTAGTGTGTGTAACAGGGTCACAAGAATTCGACAGCCAGATGCTCCAAGAGGGTGGCCCAAGGCTATAGCCCCACCTTGAATGTTGACCTGAGAAGGAGAAAGTTTTATCATAGATCATTCTTCTATGGACATAGTTTAAAATCCTAAACTTGTCTTTCCTCTTAATATTTTACCAGGCAAACTATTCTTTTCAAATTGAACTTTCCTGCTGAGGAATAAATACATATTGTGACATCTATTCCTGACTTGTTACTTTAGTTTAAAAAATGATTTTAGAAATCTAAAATGCTCAATTCTTACCTGAAGTAAACTAATGTAGTCAAGATTTTTGCCTTGGGAAGCAACAAAATAAGTGAACTGAGTCTCACTAGGAACTAGTATTCACCCATTACCAAATGGCCAATACATCTAATTACATACTATTTATAATCTCTGTGAAATTGCATTGGTGAGCTCTCAGGCTTATGTTTACCTTGTCTGGGTTTAATCCAAGTTCTTTAGTTATTGCAACAGAGAGGGCTGCAAAGGCTTCATTGATTTCAAATATATCAACATCCTTCAGTGACCAACCTGCTTTTGCAACCTAAAGGAAAGATTAATAGGATAAAGATCTAAGAAAAGGGTAAAGTTAGTTAAGCCATTTTTTTTTCCTTCTTGTCTTTTTTTGTGACTGGCAACGGATCACAACCCTCGGCATTGCGCCCGCACCTTGCTCAGCCAGTGAGCGGCCAGTCTGTATGTGGGATCCGAACCCCTGGCGGGAGCGCCGCCGCACTCCCAAGCGGCGCACTAGCAGTGCGCCACCGGGCTGGCCCAAGTTAAGCCATTTTTCACTGTACACATATAAAAATATGCTGCATAATACCAAAGGATCTCTTAAAAACTTCCACTTTGGGTTGTTCCTAGATCTGTCCAGTGATACCTCACATGTTTTGCCTTTGTGAAACCCAATTCCATCCAGGTCAAGGATGTGCTCTAAAACATCCCTTAGAAATTCTAAACTGTCTTAAATTTTGAACTAATAGCATCTGTTACATGTAGGTAAGGTGACGTAACAGAATTGGTTTCCCTAAAAAGCATGTGATCCAAATGTTATTGGCAATTCTTTGTGGTGGGGAAAGACTAGAGGTCCAACTAAATAAGCTTACTTAAGGCTAACAGGAAGACAAGTTAACATTGCATAAAAAGCAAATGAAACCTGATATGAAAACAAGCACAAGAAAAGAGATCTGAGCAAAGGTTTAGAGAGGGGAGGACTTGGAAGGAAATCGCATGTTACTGGCCTGGTCCCAGAGGTTATATGTGGGGTCCTCAAAAAGTTCATGGAAAGATGTATATTACCTTTTAATTCTATTTTTCCACGGAATTTTTTTTTTTTTTTTTTTTTTTTTGTGACTGTTGAGTACAAGGATCCAAAGCCCGGACCTTGGTGTTCTGTAACACTGATTTAATCAGCTGAGCTAACTGGTCAGCCCTTTCCATGAACTTTGAAGCACCCTCATCAATAAAGCAAAGGATAAGATCTAACAGACTCACAGCTTGCTTTATTGCTGGAATTGGTCCTATTCCCATAATGGAAGGTTCCACACCTGCTTGTGACCATGAAACTATCTGGGCTAGAGGTGTGAGCCCACGATTATCAGCTTCTGACTTCTTCATAAGAACCACAGCTGCAGCACCATCATTTATTCCTGGAAAATACGAGTGACTTGATTCATATAAGGCTCATTAGCCTCAGTTACATGTCTGTGACTACTTTCTTTTCCACCTGAAGACATGAGCTAAATTATTTTACATATTGCCAAAGCTATCTGCCATAATTTAACAGACTTTATAGTGTAGTTAGAAATGGTAAGTTTGGCAATATAATAAAATTGACCATAGAACATTCCAACCAGAGAAAATGGAAAGATAACAGCAGTGGGGGAGAGGATATTTATGAAAGGAAATGGAAACAATAAGCCCAGGCATCACAAGGAGGTATTGATCAACCGTGGAGTTCCTGAATTTACTTTTTCATTTGTATGTCTAATTGGGATGTCAAAAAACAAATCAATTCTTTCAGTAAAGGTTAAGTCAATGATCAAATATAGAGAAACTATATTTTTCCTTTAACAGACTGAGTTTTCATAATTTTGTATATAAATAGTTAAATGAAAAGTATTCACTTGGTATACCCTGCAGTGGATGGTATTCCCCCAAATGCCCTTCAAAAAATCTCACCTGAAGCATTAGCTGCGGTGACTGTTCCCGTTCCATCCTTAAGAAAGGCAGGCTTTAGCTTGGACATGACTTCTATGTTGCTCCCGTGGTGAGGAAACTCATCTGTTTTAACTTCAGTAAGACCTGAAAAAAGGAAAACCAATTACCCAAGATTAGGACAGATAGAGGTGAGTGTGCTGGAAGTGGTGAATTTCTCAGACATGTAACATGAGGTTTCATATTTGGCAGAAAGGTTTATTAACATACACTCACTTTCATTCCAACAGGAGGAAAGGACACATCAACAAGAATTAATGTATGTTGAAACAATTTATGAGAACTGTCCTCATGAGACATTTTGGATGTTTTCCAAATCCATAGCCCTTCCTGAGGAAAGTAGTTACAGGGAGTCATTTGTGCAAAATGATGCTCTGTTTTGTGTCATAGCACTTCGCTGGTTACAACAGAGTGGGTCAGGGAGTCTCAAAGCCAGTTTCATATGGACTGGACATAATGTTAGTTATCAATAAGAGAATTTGACTAGAGCACTCTGTATTAGACAACTGCTAACAGACCCTCCAGAAATGTGGATGTAAAATCCACTCTCCAGAAATGTGGATCTAAGATGTGCACAGAAACAACAGGAGATAATGGATGTTCGCTTCTGAGAAGGTTTAACCTGTGCAGGGAACAGGCCAGCTGTCACCTCCTAACAACCATGAGCCAATGTACCAGTTTCTCATGAAAACTGCTGTATACACACAGCAGCTGCAGGCACTGTGGGACCAAGAGTGTCTGAATGCCGAGTTGACCGTGTTGCCCTGTCCCATGAACGTAACCCGCCCCCCCCCACATTCAGATATATCCAGGATGTATCTTTGCAACCTGAAAAACATAACTAAGACACAACTTATAAACATTTATATCTATCTATCTATCTATCTATCTATCTATCTATCTATCTATCTATATCTATATCTATATATATGGAGGTGGGGGGCAGCTGGCCAGTACAGTGATTGAACCCTGGACCTTGGTGTTATCAGCACCACAATCTAACCAACTGAACTAACCAGGGTGTGTGTGTGTATGTGTGTGTGTGTCTGTGTGTGTATGTATGTCTGGCCAGTATATGCACTGAACTAAACCATTATGATTATATACCCACCTTTTCTAGAAGACACAAAAACAGGTACAATCTCTTTGTCAAAATGGCCGGCTTTCTGTGCACTCTCTGTCCTATTCTGGGACAGAACTGCAAGCTTGTCCTGATCTTCTCTACTTACTTGCCATTTTTTGGCTACATTTTCAGCTGGAAAAGAAAAAGCAAGCAAAAAACCAACATTTTTCACTAACTGGCTCTTGGTAGCTCAAGTTGTACACACTTAAGTGCTGACTGCACACTCTAGAAGGCTCACAGGGGGGCTGAGGGGCAGTGCTCAGTGAGGGGTGGCCTCCCTGCCACAGGCAGTGGATTTGGCAATGTTGTAGTGACTCTCAGGAAGTTATTTTCTTTCTCTCTTCCTTCTCTCCTTTCCTTTCTATGTAATTGTAAATGTTCCAAAATTTCCTTTAAAACAGATTCAGCATTTATATTTTTTGCCCCATTTCCTTTAACATTCTCTTTCTGAACCATTTGAGAGAAGGCTGTAGATACAATGTCCTAATATCCTTAAATTTTAATTTCAGTGGACACTTTCCCAAAACAAGGCCTTTTACATTATCACAGTCATAAAAATCAGGAAATCTGAAATCGATACAATGCTATTACCTAATCCTTGTTCCATATTCATATTTCACCTGCTGTCCTAATAATGTCCTTACAGCTATTTTATTTGTTCAATCCAGAATCCAATGAAGGAGCATGCACTGCATTAAACTATCAATCTCTTTAGTTTACTTTTATCTGAAACAGTTCTTCAAAAATAGTGTTTCTGGGCCGGCCCGTGGCTCACTCGGGAGAGTGCGGGGCTGATAACACCAAGGCCGCAGGTTCGGATCCCATATAGGGATGGCCGGTTGGCTCACTGGGTGAGCGTGGTGCTGACAACACCAAGTCGAGGGTTAAGATCCCCTTACCGGTCATCTTTTTAAAAAAAAAAAAAATATAGTGTTTCTTAAGCTTGATATTTTTGAAGAGCATGTGCCAATTCTCTTGTCAAATATCCTCAATTTGGATTAGTTTTATGTTTCCTCAAGAGTAGACTGAGATTATGCTGAAGGGCAGGTGTGTCACTGAATGATGGCATGATCTTAGTGAATCTTACTAGGACACAGGTGAAAATCAGTTTATCCCAGGGATGTTAGCTTTAATCATTTGGTTGTAACCTGGTGATATCCACCAGATTCCTATATTGTAAAGTTACTATTTTTCCATATATAATTGATTAATAATTTAGGGGAAGTTATTTTGGGATTATGAAAATATCTTCATCAAATTTCACCTAGTTTTAGCATTCATTCATGATTTTTTTTTTTTTTTAAAAGATGACCTGTAAGGGGATCTTAACCCTTGACTTGGTGTTGTCAGCACCACACTCTCCCAAGTGAGCTAACCAGCCATCCCTATATAGGGATCCGAACCCATGGCTTTGGTGTTATCGACACCACACTCTCCCAAGCTAGCCACAGGCTGGCCCCTCATTCACGATTTTCTAACTCCAAGATTCCTTCTATATGTATTAAATGGCATTTTGCTGTAAAAAAGCTTTTCCTTCTCTCCTCATTTATTCAGTTATTTACCTCAGTATGGATTCATGGACTTTAATAAGTTACAAGCCATCACTATCATTATTTATATTATTATTTATTTTAATGCTCAAATTGTTCAAAATTTGGGCAGTGGGAACCCTGTAGGCTGACTCCTGTGTCCTACTGACATGTCCCCATATGCTCTGAGCACATCCTTAATTTTTTTTTAGCACCTTTGTCCTAGCCCTGAAATGAGCCATTTCTCGAAGGAACCCTATTTCCTTTTACTGGAGGAAGTATTTAGAAACAGATCTAGGTATTAGGACTGCCCATTGTTACTAGTATGTCATTGTTTCTAGGCCTATCAGTAGGAACTTTCATATATAAAAACAATTTATAATTTTACATACAGATACAGTCATGGTGACACCTTGAGTCATACTGATATCTCCAAATGCAATCTAACAGAAGCTACCTTCTCCCCACTTTCCATACTTGTAACTCTCTTCTACAAAAGTGAGAAATGGCTTTCATTATCCTCAAAAAAAGATCCTTTTGCAGATTTCTGGAGCTCCTTTTCTTTGTAGCTCCCATATCCCACCCCACAAACTCCAGGCATCTCAGCAACCCCAAATTCCCTGCCTCTCCAGATCATTAAGACCACTGTCCCCTGCTTCAGTTCTACCTCTCCATGCCAGTTTGGAAAGTGCCCCCAGGCAGACAGCCAGTAATAGTAGGCTTTCCCTTCTCTCAAGGATCTCAGTCTTGCATGATTATTAATCACATGTTGCTTGATATATTTTGACCAGTTTTATAGTTGTTTATAGTAGGAGGTCTAGTCTTTACCAATTACTCCATTGTGGCCTGAGCCATCTTTTTTTTTTTTTTAAATGAGAATTTTATTTTCTCCTACTTCTGGAGGCTAGAAATCTAAGATCAAGGTACCAGGAAGTTTGGTTTCTCCCCTTGGCTTGCAGATGACTGCCTTCTTGCTGTGTCCTCACATGCTCTTTTCTCTGTGTGCACATCCCTAGTGTCTCTGTGTATCCAAATTTCTTCTTATGAAGACATCAGATTGGATTAGGGCCCACTCCAATGGCCTCATCTTAACCTAATTACCTCTTTAAAGGTAATTAAACAGTCACATTCTGAGGTATTGAAGATGAGGGCTTTGACATGAATTTTGGAAGGGAGCAGGGCACACAATTCAACCCAGAACACCTTCAAGGGGGCTCAGGATCTGAATATTTAATAAGTACCTCTGGTGATATTGAGGCCATTGGTGAGAGTTACTCACCTTGAGAGACTCTGGCCTAGACGCCATACCAAGGATGACCCTGGCACAGCACACAGCGCCCTCCATGGCCTGCCATGTGCCTCTCAGCCTTCTCTGCTACAGCTCTCACTGGAGCAGCACTCACCTTGAGAGACTCTGGCCTAGACGCCATACCAAGGATGACCCTGGCACAGCACACAGGTGCCTCTCAGCCTTCTCTGCTACAGCTCTCACTGGAGCAGCGATGGAGACGCCTGGGGCTTTGCACTGTTTCCACATCTCCAAGCCCTTCCCTCCTTCCTCACGCTCACACACACTATTACATCTGCTTGGACTCTTGCCCTTTCCCATCCTCTTTCTCATCTGATTTACATTTCTCATAGCAGCACAGCCATTGCTGCATGCATCTGAACAAGGTGCTTAACTTCTCAGGGTTTGTTTCTTTAAAATTAAGTGTCAGTTCTGTTTCCTAAGTTTTACATTCATATGCAGTAAAGACATGAGTTCTTTTGATTTATCACTTGGCTTTACCAGTCAACCTAGACCACGGGAGCCTTCTAGATGGGTGACTAATGATCTGATTGTGTAGTGCAAAACCAGAGTTAGGCCTCAGAAGAAGTGGCTTATCTCTAGTGCTCCTCTGCCACACGACCACTCTGTGGGCCCTGTTTCTTCATCTGGTTAAATGAGGGGACTGATCCAGAACTCTGAAGGACAATCAAAGACTCACAGAATAGTTATTTGCTCATTTCACTTCAGTTCACCAACGAGGAACCATGCCTTTCAGCATGGACACAAAAATGATTAGGACTTGGTCTCTGCCTAAAAGAAGGAAAGCACCTGAGAAGCAGATTATCGTATGATCTTTTTCAGCCTTTTTAAAATTAATATGTTTCCAGCCATATCTGCCTTACCTGTAATGCCCATATGATAGTTGTGAAATGCATCTGTGAGACCATCACAGAGTACACTGTCGGCCAGCTGCACCTCACCCATCTTTACTCCTGCTCTCAGGTGAACTAAGTGTGGAGCCTGGAAACAAGACATACAAATGCATTTCAGCGTGGTTGTGATTAGTCCTCTCCTTAGGGTCCCACTCAGAACTACCTAGCATTTCCTCTGTCTTTATCTAATCCCCTATGCAGCCCTTCTCCCCAGTTCCAGCTCCTCACCCAGGCCAGAGCCTGAAGACCCTTGGAATTAGCAGACCACTCTTGGGAACCCATTTCTCTTCTACCTAGCCATTTCCATTTCTCTCTCGAACGTATCCATTCTGTGTCCCATTTTAAAAATCCCTTTTGTTCTTTCCAAAGAGGCAACAAATTATCTGTTAAATGAAGAACTCATCTAAGGGCTTAAGCAGTGCTAACAATTTGTTACTTATTTTGATGGAAGACATGAAGCCTATAGTAAGAATAATCAGGTTGTCTAATTAACTAATGCAGAAGGATCTCTGAGTAGGGAGTGCCCTTAACTCCCACCAACTCAACAGCAGCTATAATAGAATGGAAAGAGCATTACACTTGGAGTCAGGAGAGCTGTACTTGAATGCTGGCTTTAGGCCAAAGTTTCTTTACCTGTAAATTGGGAATGATATCATCTAAGGTACAAAAGCACCTGGCAAAGTCCTGCACAGATGTTAGTATGTCCCCATCAAAACTGATCTGACCATTTTTGCAACCTTCAGCCTGTCTCCTCTGGAGCTGGGCTGAATTGGCCTCTGACTAGATTATTCCCAGGTCAGCCTGAGCTGCCTCAGTAGGAGGCAGGGGATATACTTTTTCCCTTTCACCATTCTGCCAATTTGAGGGATGGACTTGATGAAACAAACCCCAAATGGCAAACCTATTGGAGAAGGGTGCCACTCAACGGTCCTCTTTTCCATGTTCTGTATCTCCAAAAGGTCAACAAAGTCTGGTCCCTGGGGTGCTCCTTGCCATGTGCAGGAAGGTAAGTGGCAACATCTGCTTTTGGCTTTTTCCCACAATGAGAAAGAAATTGAAAACCAAGAATATCAACCAACTAATAACATGGGTTTAATTCAGGAAATATGCTTCAGTAAAAACAGTTTAGAAAAAATATATTCTGTTCCAATCACACTGGGTGATAGTCTTTTTCTTCAACCTGGATTTCCCATCTGATTTAAAGAATAATTAACATTCAGGTAGGGATCGAGGTGGAATCTATTTTTTGTCTCTTTGTTCACTGTTTGGTTCCAGCTCTGATATGCATCAATTTACTCTGCTATTGTACGGATGTGAGTTTATCAGTGAGTCAGCGAGAGCCTTACCTTGCTCATACTTTCCATGCCTCCTGCAACCACAATGCTGGAGTCTCCTATCCCTATTGACTGGGCTGCAAGGCACACGGCTTTCAGACCTGACCCACAGATCATCTGGCAGCTCCACGCTGGAACTGAGTAGGGAATTCCTGCACCCACACTGGCTTGCCGAACAGGATTCTGCCCACATCCTACAAGAAGGCACACAGAGGCCTCTCAGCAATCAAGGAGAAAGATAGAATGTCAGGGTGAAAGAGCCTGCAAAATTGCCAACTGGGTCATCTGTAACAACTGAAAAAGTCTGAGTCAAGGGCCTGAAAAGGCAGAACAGAGGAAGTGGCCAAAATGTAGTCAGTCTGAGGTGTTACACATATATTTCAAAGCTCTGGAGCCATGAGAAAGTGGCATGGTTCATACAAGACTTTAAGGCCCATGGGCCGGCCCGGTGGCGCACTGGATAGGTGCGCCGCTTGGGAAGCGCGGCAGCGCTCCCGCCGAGGGTTCGGATCCCACATACAGACCGGGCGCTCACTGGCTGAGCGAGGTGCGAGGGCAACACCAAGGGTTGCGATCCCGTTGCCAGTCCCGGTCCGGTACGGGCGCAACACTGAGGGTTGTGGTCCATTGCCGGACACGAAAAAAGACAAAAAAAGGAAAAAAAAAAAAAAAAGACTTTAAGGCCCATGATGAGTTGAGAAAGAAGAATTAGGAAGAACTAAAAAACTACAAAGTAAATACACAGAAAAATGTGCCAGGTCTCAGACAGGGTAAGGATAGAAGTTGTTTTTGAGTAAGCATTTCCAATTATCACTACAAATAATAAGAATTTATGCTACTGAGTGAGCATCAAACTAGCTATTGATAACTAATTAGGAATGGTCAGTGACCACTGCTCTGTAAACCCAGAGGGAATCAGCTGTAAGACGGGAGTGCTCTCAGGACTCACCTATCTTCCTCCAGCGAATGACACACCCCCTACTTGTGAGGAGCATGAAGTACAACCTACCTTCCCAGCTCAGAAGTGAGCCCTAAGAGGGCAAAGACTTCACCTGTGTCACTGGAGCCACACTCCCCAATACCTAGCACAGTGCCAGAAACACAACAGGAATTCAATACATTTTTCTTGAATGTGTGACATTTTAGGGGAATATGGAGGACCATGCATACTCTCCTATGCATCAGGCTGGCTCTACTTCTAAAGAATGAAAAAGCAGTGTAGGTCAGTGGTCTAGGTTCATTCAGGGGAAAAGCATACTGAAGAAGCTGAGTCTGATGCTGAACAGAAACTAGTGATGGCTGGGAGGAGGAGGGACGACGGGAGAAATTCTAACAGAGGAAACTGAGCCAATGTACAGAAGCAGGAACATAAATGTGTCTGTGTGTTAACAGCTGTTTCTAATAAACCTGAGCTCTCCCGGGGTCTCTGAGGAGTTACCTGCTGCCAAAACATGCCCAAATATGACTTCGGACACCTCTTCTGGAGCCACAGTGGCCCTCTTCAGGACTTCTTTAATGACAGTTGAGCCCAGGTCCTGGACAGGAACAGTAGATAAGGCACCACTGAAGGAGCCTGCAACAGAAGGGTGGACAGAGTGGACATGTGAGAGCTGAGGGCAGTGCAGAAACCCACCCCCGTGCTGCAGGCTCTGGGCCTCCTCTGGCCGGTGAGATGGGCGCTGTCTGGAAAGACCACTGCGAGGAGGCAGCACCCTCTCCCTTCATGCATTCCCTCAACAGCTACTCTGGGCAAAGGGCAGAGTGTGTGTCACAGCCCGTGGTGCCCAAGGCCCAGACAGGCGACTCCCAGAGCAGCCTGTGTGTTACTGGGTGGCAGTTCCAGGTTCTTGGTATATCCGTGTGGAAAAAAAAAAAAAATCTTTCATGGGTCTAGTGAAAAGAAAGGAAGGGGGGTACAGAGAAATGGAACATAATAGGGAATTATTACAAAGTGAAGGTACACGCAGAAAATAGTGCACAGGCGTCCCTGTGCTGGAGTGAGCAGAACTAAAGCCACATTGGGACTGAAAACCACATGGGCTCCAAAAGATCTTAAAAAGACAAGTTTTTTTCCTGGCATGCATTTCTCTGAGTTCCCACTTTCCCCATGGTTATTTGGTATTTTGGACCTTGGTTATGGGGCGAGATGACATTATTTACATGAACGTAAAGTTGTTTTCCAGCCAGTCTGAAACTGCAGACTTGCACGTACTACCCAGATCGTGAGATATCAGCAAGGAAGGGAGCAGAAACCAGACGACGCCTTGGCCAGACCTCGCACCTGAGACCTTGCATGTTGCATGAAGCCCTTGCTGCTCACGTGCCCCTCCCTCCCACTTTTCATTTCCCACGTGCCATTTCCTCAACCCCTCTTTAAAAATCACTCAGTAAATCTGAGTCTCGGAGATGGCTTTAGCCTGGACACTCTCCTTCAGGTTTACCTGAGAGATGGGTTCGCCCAACACCTCCCGCAGGTCACCGGTGCTCCTGAATAAAAGCTGACATTTTACTTTTGGGGTGGTTTGCTTTTGTCTGAGTTGGGCATCAATTTTGGGGAACCTCAGCCAGGAGCTGAGGGAGAAACGCCTGCGCCCCAGATTCTTATGGGGAGGGTTTATATGTTGTGGGACAGGGGTGTTTCTCGTCAGGCTGCACCTGCTTCCTGTCATGTGTCCCTAAGTTTCTGAAAGTTTGGGGCATGCACAGTGCGGTCGCTTTCCCATATCTTTGTCCTTTGCCGTTTGGCGTCGGGGGTGGTGGGGGGAGGTCGTGTGAGTCATCTGCACTTTGGATGCCCCCAGGGTGCAGCACTGACCTCCAGTCCTAGTATTCACGAGCAGCCTCTCTGGGGCGTGTCCCTCCTCTGTCCTGTCCTACACGGACCCCTGGCCCCATCCATCTCCTGAAATCCGAGGGGATGGACGTGGCCCACGCTTCCCAAACAAAGGGCGCCGGCGGCACAGCGGGCCAAGGGCTGTGAAAACTCCGGGGCACCGTAGACACGGAGGCAACAACCGCTCACCTTTGTTGTACCAGCCCGACCCCCTCCCAGCGCCGGGGTCAGACCAACTAGCGGCTCGCCCCTCCTACCGCTGGGCCCACCGATGGCTCCACCCAGAGCTGGCCAATCAGGGGCCTCGCGAGAGGAAGGCTCCCTAAGCCAGCCAATAGGAGAGCCGAAATGGCGCAAGGGCTCTACCCCAGGAGCCAATCCGAGCACGAGGGG